TTTTAAAATCGCCTTAAAAATGACTTAACTATAGACAAGCTGGTTAGGACTCTAAAGTTTTTTCATAATTAAAAATAAATAAATAAATCACCATTTTATCCATTTATGAATAAATCTCATGCAATATTTTTTTCCCAAAATAAATTTTTTCAGGTTAATTAATTTCATTTTTTTTAATGTATAGGCAAATAATTTTTTTATTTTAATTATATTGTCCTCTCATGACTCTTTTTTTAATAAAATTATCTCATTACTATAATTATTCATAGAAGCTTCGATTATCTTTTCAGTACCTCTTTTTTAATAACAATATAAGTAAATGCCTAATTGTCCAAAATCCTTTCTAAAAAAAACAGAGTTTAAAAATAACTATTATTTCACATCAAACGAAGTGCAATAACTATTACACCACTTATCTTTTCATTTCTACCATTAATCATAATTGGAATTTTTTAACTTCTACTCCTTAAACATAAGTTGAAAGTATATTTATTATATATTTTTATTATTAATTTACATAAAATTAAATTATTCTACATGACATGGGTATTAAAAATAAAGTTTATTTTTATAATTTTTTTATATAAATTAATGTTAAAATATGTAATAAATATACTTTTAATTTCTAGTCTTATGATACAAATTATAGAAAAACCCATTGTGATTAAACCAAAAAATACTGACATCTCCAATAAAATTGGAATAACAATATTTAATGTTTTCTTAAAATAGTAAAGGGTATTTTTAATGTGTCCTTAGCACATAAGATAATAGTGCATTATTATATTTTTGCTCCATTAATTTATATAGGAGAATACAAAAGTTTACATTAATTTCACACAATATTAAGTGTATTGTTTTAATTGGATGTTTGATAAAATTAAATTTAACTTTTATATTTCCTATAATAATTAACAATAAAAAATGCAGTGAATACAACTTTAAAGGACATGTATTAATTAGAAAAATGGAATTTGTAAGGAATATGTTAAAGATATATTTATTATACTTTTTTATTATTAATTTGTATTAAAAAATAATTTTAATTTTATCAATCATATAATTAAAAGTGTACATGTGATATTGATAATAAAAATAAAGTAAATCTTTGTATTTTTCTATAAAAATTAAACGTAAAATGTGCAATTAATGCATACTTAATTTTTAGATAAATCCTTAAAATTATTTAATAGTAAAATGGCTTTTTTATTATGTATCTTTAAAGAAAAATGATGTGTGCACACCTGAATCCAATACCCAAGGATGCACACATTATATAAAAAAAAAAATGCCCATCACCTAATCCATATATTTTTTTTTTATATAGGGGGTGCACACCCGGGTGTTGGATCCGGGTGTGCACCAATCATTGTCCATCTTTAAAATACAAATTAAAAATATAATTAATATATTTTTTAACAATTAATTTATATTGAAAAAATAAAAATT